ATGTCTGTTTTAATTGTCCAATTGCCACAGTGCTTGTCAAAGCCAGTTCTGATTAATCTCCTTTGTCATTGTGTCCCTTGTCATTCCCTATCACTCCTCCCTGAGAGAGACTTCACCCTGATTCATAAGGAAAAGGAGATGGCGTAGTCTCTTAGCTACTTCCTGCTGAAAAGGGATGCTGTGGGTTTCAGGGTGAATGTTACACTCACTATCTTGACCAATTCGCAGTTCAAATGCATTTTTTTTTTAAAAAAAAAGTCCTTTAGGAGTAGTTGTTTTTGAGGCTAGAGTTAATTTTTTTATTTGATGACAGTCAAGGAGTTCCTGGATGATAAAAATGATTATCAAACAGTTGGCTTTTAACTGAAAGGCTGGTGGGTTAAACCTACTCACATCCAGGTGCATCAGAAGAAAAACTTGGCTGTCTCTTGCCGTAGATTGTTCTTGAAATTGCTAGTGGTGAGTTGGATTCCACTTAGCTGACCTTCCAAAGGGTTTTTTTGTAAATCACTACAAAGGAGATTGCCTGTTTTTTCTCTTGTGGAGCAGCCAGTGGTTTCGAACCACTTGCCTTTGTATTAGCAGTGAATCTCCCTACTCTCTAGCCCACCAGAGACCCTTCTTCCATAGATTACAGCAAGAAAACCCTGTGGGAGATAGTTCTACTCTACAATGCATAGAGTTACCAGGAGTTGGATGGAATCATCTCCATGGCAGCTGAGGGGTTTTTGTGTTTTAAGGCAAGGTTTTATGTGGTGTGTTTTGAGTTTTTCTTTCTTTTTTTGCTATGTGTTTTTTACTGGTGGAAAGTTCTTTCCCTTAATCCTGGTTGGCAGAGGTGTAGCTTTGTGTTGATGATTAATGAATATTTAAAAAAATGAGGACGTTTATGGAAAATCCTTTTACAGAGCAAGCAAATCAGGAACTTTGATTGCCTCACTCACTATGATTGAACTTTGAGTTTAGTGTCAAAATATTGCTGTGTTATTTACATTGGAACTGTGTGATCCTGCACCAGCCTCAGGATACTTCGACCTATTGTTATGGTCGCTGTGTCCGTCCATTTGGTTGAGGATTTTCCTTTCCTTCACTTACTCTTCACTTTTCCACGGGTCATGTCATTTTTGAGGGACTGGGTTTTCCTGGCAGTGTATACAGAATATGTGAGACAAAGTCATAGCATCCTCACCTCTGAGAAACACTGGCTGCACTTCTTCCAATGATAGGTCATTGTTGCCAATGTTGCAATTCAGAAGCATCAATTCTTCTTAAGTCTTCCTTTATTCATTGCCCAACTTTCACATGAATATGACACAATTGAAAAATACCAAGGCTTGGTTCAGGCATGCTTTGGTTCAGAATTTTAGAGTAACATCACATTTTAACACTTTAGAAAGTCCTTGCCAGCTCTCCCTGCGACTGGCATGGAACTCTTCTGGCTTAGGAACCTTTTAAAAGCTAGAAACAGCCTCGCAGAAACATGAATTGCAACACTTCCCAGAATAAATATATCTGCTCTATCTGCAGGAATTATTTCATAGGTCCTGTCACCACTAAATGTGGGCACAACTTTTGCAGGTTTTGTCTTTATACTTCCTGGCAGGAAGCCTCAAATTCTCAGAGCTGCCCTGAGTATCTCTGAACAATAAATGTGTGAGATACATTTACACTAGAAACCTTCTTCTGCAAAGTGATCGAGGACAAGCTGTGCTTACCCTGCCTTAATTCTAAGGAGCACAAAAGTCACCTAGACTTTTCCATTGATTGGACTGCTGAGAAACACCAGCAAAAGCTTCCAGAACAAATGAGGTCTCTTTGGAGAAAAAAGCAAGAAAATCAGAGACATCTTAAGAGAGAAATCGGAATAATCAAATCTTGGAAGGAGTTTGTAAATCTAAGGATGAAGACAGTGGATGCCGAATATCAAAACGTGGTGCTCTTTCGAGACAAGGAAAAGGTTTTGAAAAGATTAGAAAAGGAAAGCAAAGAGAAATTACAGCTACTGAAGCACAGGATAAACAGCATGATTCTAAAAGATAAATTCCTCTGGAAAATGTATAAAGAGCTGGAAGTGATGTACCGTAAACCAGACATGGTACAGATCCAGCATTTTGAAAATCTGACAAGCAGCCAGTTATTGCAGCAGCCCCAGCCTCTGAACCCAGTGATCAGTTCGATGCCCATTGATGGACTGATAAACAGGTTCTATGACCAATTATCTGTGTCCTTGGATAATAAAAAAATGACTAGCCATGTTCCCATCTTTGAAGATCTGAAATGTCTCTTCAGTCATAATCAACTCATAGTGACACACAATCCAGCAAGATCTAACTGTCTTCTTGAGTGGGGATCTCAGACTCTCACCTCTGGAAAAACTTACTGAGAGGTTAATGTTGCAGGATATTGGAATTGGATTATTGGATTATGTAATGATTCCAAGACAAGGAAGAATGATGTGCTAGTTAACTCTAAGGCACGACTTCTACTGTATTGTGTCAGAATGAACAGCCAAACACATCTCTTTACCTCCTCTCTACTTTTGCCTCAGTATATAGACAGACCTCCAGGACATGTTGAAATATCCCTGGATTATGAATGTGATCAAGTGAAGTTTGTTGATGTGGCTAATAGTACCCTCATTTACAGTTTGCTTTCATGTCCCTTCATTTACTCTCTCAGACCTTTCCTTTACATTGGCCCCCCAGTGATCAGGTATAGTTTAGAAACCTCACTGTGGATTTGAGATGTCTTCTCTGTGCCTACTACATTGCCTTTCATTTTATGCAAAGCTTTTTTTTCTTCCTTTAATAAACACATTTATTTTCTCACAGTTTGTTGTAGTTGTTAGGCATCTTAGGCTACACTGTGACTCATCTGTATTCACCTGGTGAACAAGAGATCTGAACCTTGCTCCACCTTATGCCATCTTCACCATCTCTTATATGGCTGACCTCAGTCTTCACAGTCATTGTCAACCCATCTCCCGGAGGACTGTCTTTCTCAGTCATGTATGTTGTTGTTGTTGTTGTTGTCGTTGTTAAGTACCGTCAAGTCGCAGGCGACTCATAGCGACCCTATGAAGGAGAGTCCTTGATGCTTGGGTGCCTTTCCTCTTCTCTCCAGGTTCATAGGGTTTCTGGAGGCAAGCTATTATGGAAGTGGATGCCACTCCTCCTTCCAACAATCATGTATAGCTTTGGTATATTTTTTATTATTAAAAATGTAGTACTATAATGTATATCAACTTTATTTTTATTAAGTATACTTCCCTATAAATATTTTTTAAAATCCTTGACAGCATATTTCCCAATCTACCACGTCTCTTGATTTTTATTTTTTTTTTTCGTTGCAGTTTGATGTTTCTTTATTCTGGTGATTCAAAAAGCTCTCTTTTCGTCTCTTGATTTTTTTTGGCTGCTGCTACCATGGGTGTTGACTGTTGATCCAAATAGGATGAAGACATTGACAACATCAGTCTTTCCCCATTTTATCATGATGTTGCCTGTTGTTCCAGTGGTGAGGATTTTTGTTTAATACAGATATAATTCTGTAGGTGCATCTAATACAGGCCATGGTCTTTGCAATCACTTGTTATGCACCAGAGAGTTGGAAAATGACGAAGGAGGATAGAAGGAGAATTGATGCCTTTGAGCTGTGGTGCTGGAGAAGAGTATTGAGGGTACCATGGACTGCTAGGAAAACAAACAGATTTGTCCTGGAAAGGGTCAAACCGGGCTGCTTCTTGGAGGCAAGGATTCTAAGGCTCCGTCTAACATACTTTGGACATATTGCAAGGAGGGACAGGTCCTTGGAGACATCATGCTTGGTAGGGTGGAGGGACAGTGCAGAAGGGGAAGACCCTCTATGAGGTGGATTGATTCAGTGACTGGGGTAATTGCGATGGTTGTGTCTGAGACAGTGCAATTGGCACAGGACAGAGCAGAGTTTAGGGCTGTTGTACATAGGGTCGCTATGAGTCGCAAGTGACTTGACGGCACATAACAGCAACGAGATGTAATTCTGAAGACTGTAATATCTTTTTTAATCTTCATTAAATAAGGCCTCTTCCCTTTCAACAAGCAAGATTGAGCCCCTGCAATAGTGCAGGTTTGTTGAAGAATCTTCCCCAATTCTGATGCCACACTCTGCATAGAGTTCAACTTCCTGGATTATTTGATCATGTCAGGTAGATAGATATTGGTTGGAAGCAGAGAGTTCTAGAAGGAAAAAGGTTTACTTCAGTTTTGTGGCTAATAATAAATTATGGGTAAAGTTGAGAAAAATAGGATTTCTAGAGATTGCCAAAACACTGCTAGTTGTAGTCCACAGAGAGTTGTACATAAACCCAAGGCAGTGCTTCTTTGGCAGTTCATATCCACCAGCAGTTAGTTCCATGGGAGAAAGATGGGCAGTCTCCTCCCGTGTGATTAACAGCCTCTGAAAACCCCCTAGAGGGTCTGGTCGGAGTCAGTTCCAACTTGACAGCAAAGAGCATGAGAGAAATCATTTAGCAAGCAGCGTCTTAGGCCAATGTCCTTCCATTCTTTCTGAGTTTCCTTTGTTTCTCAGTTGCCAGTAAGTCAGTTCTGGCTTGTGGTGATCCCAGCCTGTGTGCCAAGTAGAACCCCTGGCCTTCAGAAGCAGATTTCTAGGTCTGTCTGCTCTCAGAAGCCTCTGGACTAATAGTTGAGCATTGAACTTTATGGGTTGGCCACTCTCCTCTGAAATAAAAAAAATGTGGGTCTTCATTAGACTTTTCCAAGTAAGAACCTTTGGCCAGTGGTTTTCTTCCAAGTGGAAACACACCTTCCAAATTCAGGTAGCATATCCCATTGAGTGATAATCCAGAAACCCGCCAGGACGTGGAGATGTTCATTGGAGCCTGAATCAGTCAAGTCTGTAGTTGAATCATCCTCCTGTAGATGGTAAGACTTGTTCCATGTCCTAGATCTTCCGTGGTCAACTTGTTGGCATTAAATCTTCTTTGCTGGCATATTGTTGGACACAGCTCCCTAGAGATATTCATCCTTGGGGCCACCCCATTGTGTTTTATTACTCGGACTGCTGGCTGAAGGTTACAGAATTATGCCCCAGAGGCTACATTTAATCACATGTTTTGTTTGACTTACAGAATTATTTTTAAAAATTGGATTAGGGCCCAACACAATTATGTGTAATTGCATATAAAAGTCTAGCTGCCTAACTTAAAAAAGGAAAGCCTAGTAGTACTCTGCTGTCTGTCCTAATGTCACTAATTTGTTGGATACGCGTAAAAGCTGCCTCTTCTCCGCCAGTTCTGCTTATTTCCCTAGCTCTATTTGTCCCTTAAGAGTGGTGGTTCGCAAACTGGAGCAGTTTATCTCCTCACAACAGGACACATTTGGCAGTGTCTGCACTAGAGACATTTTTGGCTGTTAATAGGGGTGGGAGTGGGAGTGTGCTGAGTGCCACTGGTATTTTAGAGGTAGAAGCCAGACATTCTACTGAGACAGTGCACAGGACAGCCCCTTCTTCAACACACACCTCCCCACAACAATTATCAGGCCCAAACTGTTAGTGCTGCTAAAGGTGAGAAATTCTTATCCAAACTCTGAAGTTACTGTGTATGTAGACCATTCACAGCCTTTTCTCACTGAGAGGATTCATTAACATACCATTTTATGGTATTTTCATAGTAACATTAGAGAACTTTTCCCTTTGGCCATTGAAGGAATTGAGTGGAAGAACTTTATGGTCTCAATTTTCATTGGTGCGTAAAATAAGTTTTCAGAAGATACATTTCAACTGGAGTAAATGTTTGGATTAAATCATAATGATTCTTGTTTTAAATATTTCATTTGTAAATACAATAGGAAAGTTTTAGTATCAGCTGATTAGTCCATATGCAATATAATGTAGCCTTTCATATTGTTGTTAAGTGCTGTTGAGACAACTTCAACTCATGGTTACCCTATGGACAACGAATCTGATCCCTGTCCTATCCTGTGCCATCCTGGCCATCTCATTGAGGGTCTTCTTCAGTGACCATCCACCTTTCCAAGATGAGGTCCTTGTCCAAGGGTGGGTCCCTTCTAACAATTTACCCCGCAGGGTGTGAGTCAAAGTTTGACTGTCTTTGCCTCCAAGGAGCCCCCTGGCTGCCCATTTTCCAAGACCTCTTTGTCCTTTTGGCTAGCAGTCCTTGGGATATTTTCAGAACTCTTCTCCAACATTGCAACTCAAAGACATCAATTCTGTCATCCTTATTCATTGATCGTTATTATGTTAGATAGTTAGTTGCCATCAAGTTGAGTATGACTCATAGTGGCCCAATAAACAGCCGATCTGAACCCTTCCCTATCCTGTTCCAATCTCACCATCTCTGACACACTCAAGCCCATTGCTGTAGTCACTGTGTGACCACTGCCCATGTTCACCCCTTTGTTCCCCCACCACCTTGGATCCTAATACACATTTTACCTGTTCTTTCTTTTCCTATAATAATGGTTTTGTGCAGTATTTGTCCTTATGAGACTGTTAGTTTACTCAGCATAATGCCCTCTAGTCCATACTAAGTTATGTAATAGTTTTTTAAATCATTGCTCCTGAGTGCCGTGTAGTATTCAATCATGTGAATGTACCATATAGCCCACCTAGTTAAGGGTCTTCCTCTGTTTATCTGATTCTACTTTTCCAAGCATGATGTCCCTTTCTAAGGAATAGCTTTTCCTAGCAACATGCCCAAAGTATGTGAGATGTATTAGTGGTGAGTAAAAACAATCAACTTTTAACAAGAAGGTAATTTAGTTCTTAAATTTAACTTGAGAATTTGAAATGAGGTATTTCTTGGAACACTAGGTGGCTTCACAATCAATGAATTGTTTTTACAAGGAACTCATGTAAATGAAGGGGGGGGGAATCTTTTTCAGCCATGTGAAAATTACAATGAGTGAATGAGCAAAATGAAAATAAAGGTGAAAAACATAAAATGTATGTGCTGTACTGTTAAGCTGATAATAATAGTCTCCTCTTTAAGGGGAGAGATAAAAGAAATCATGTCCCTGTTTAAAAATGCTGTATTTTGAAAATGAATATTCTTTTTCTCCAATCAGTTACTGAAGACATATTTTGGCCTTTTTTCACATTTGAGAAGCTGCTTTTATCATGTGGGGGTCTTAGCCGTATAAATACATTTGATTCCTCCTTGTCCTGCCATGTAGTCCTATTTGGAATGTATTTTAGCAGTGCTTTTCTCTTGGTGACAAAATGTAAAAAAATTTAAATTAGCGATCCTGTTGAATTGAAGGAGTTGTAATATGTAATGGACTTTGTTAGGAATAATTGTTCAAGCCTTGGATACAGCCAAAAGGGATAACTGGCTGGCTGTGGTATGTTAGATCTTTT